TTGGTCTGGAACAGAACGATCGTTGAACATGAAACGTAAACGATTTCGAAAGGAAAGGAAAGATGCATAATAAGATTCCTTGCAAAAATTGATCGATATATATTTTCCAATCCCAATTTTTAATCCGCTGAGATAGGAATTATCTCTATTAGAGATAATATTGGTCTGGAACAGAACGATCGTTGAACATGAAACGTAAACGATTTCGAAAGGAAAGGAAAGATGCATAATAAGATTCCTTGCAAAAATTGATCGATATATATTTTCCAATCCCAATTTTTAATCCGCTGAGATAGGAATTATCTCTATTAGAGATAATATTGGTCTGGAACAGAACGATCGTTGAACATGAAACGTAAACGATTTCGAAAGGAAAGGAAAGATGCATAATAAGATTCCTTGCAAAAATTGATCGATATATATTTTCCAATCCCAATTTTTAATCCGCTGAGATAGGAATTATCTCTATTAGAGATAATATTGGTCTGGAACAGAACGATCGTTGAACATGAAACGTAAACGATTTCGAAAGGAAAGGAAAGATGCATAATAAGATTCCTTGCAAAAATTGATCGATATATATTTTCCAATCCCAATTTTTAATCCGCTGAGATAGGAATTATCTCTATTAGAGATAATATTGGTCTGGAACAGAACGATCGTTGAACATGAAACGTAAACGATTTCGAAAGGAAAGGAAAGATGCATAATAAGATTCCTTGCAAAAATTGATCGATATATATTTTCCAATCCCAATTTTTAATCCGCTGAGATAGGAATTATCTCTATTAGAGATAATATTGGTCTGGAACAGAACGATCGTTGAACATGAAACGTAAACGATTTCGAAAGGAAAGGAAAGATGCATAATAAGATTCCTTGCAAAAATTGATCGATATATATTTTCCAATCCCAATTTTTAATCCGCTGAGATAGGAATTATCTCTATTAGAGATAATATTGGTCTGGAACAGAACGATCGTTGAACATGAAACGTAAACGATTTCGAAAGGAAAGGAAAGATGCATAATAAGATTCCTTGCAAAAATTGATCGATATATATTTTCCAATCCCAATTTTTAATCCGCTGAGATAGGAATTATCTCTATTAGAGATAATATTGGTCTGGAACAGAACGATCGTTGAACATGAAACGTAAACGATTTCGAAAGGAAAGGAAAGATGCATAATAAGATTCCTTGCAAAAATTGATCGATATATATTTTCCAATCCCAATTTTTAATCCGCTGAGATAGGAATTATCTCTATTAGAGATAATATTGGTCTGGAACAGAACGATCGTTGAACATGAAACGTAAACGATTTCGAAAGGAAAGGAAAGATGCATAATAAGATTCCTTGCAAAAATTGATCGATATATATTTTACAATCCCAATTTTTAATCCACTGAGATAGGAATTATCTCGACTGAAGATAACGTTGGTTACGTCTGGAATAGACTAAATCCATCGAGCGATCGTTGAACATGAAATATGAACCACTTCGAAAGGAATATATAATAAGATTCCTTGCAAAAATTAATCAATATGTATTTAATCCGAATTATCACGATTGGAGATAATGTTGGTCACGTTTGGAATAGACTAAATCCATCTAACGATTGTTGAAACGTGAACGACTTCGAAAGGAAGGATATATAATAATATTCTTGATAATATTAAATTCCAATTAGCGATTGACGAAAGGGTGCGCCAATTCTGGCTACAAAAGTTGTACCCTCGAAGGTGGAAATGGAGCACGGACAAGAAGAGGTGGCAGGCCGATAAAAATGATGCCTGAATGCGGTTGAAAATGCTGGCGGACAAAGTCGGTCGTGTAGACGATCGTGCAGGGGCAGAGGAGAGGGAGAAGGAGGATCGATGTGCGGGCTGCAAGAACGGGTCGTGCTGTTAGTTAAGCGACAGAAGGTGGATGGAAAGCATCATTCAGATGTACCTCCTAAGTGCACCAAGGAAGCCACGAGTCAGCCTTTATGATAGTTATTAATATCGAATAGTCAGCCACCGTGCCCATTACGGACATAATGGGACGCCATTTTTTCCCGCGACAATGAGGCACCCCGTTAAACGCTCGATGCGTTTGCATTATTCACGCGGATGATTAAGCTTCGTTAATATATCCGTATGGCGGCGCGCCACGAAACGAACTCGAATCTTTGTCTAATACAAAGTTAAATACGCATATTTTACATTTTTGAACCGATTTCGAATTTATACGTATATCTTTGTTCGAAGAAAAATACGAATCGAAATTAACGTTCCTTCCTCCAGATTACCTGCCGAATAATTCTTTAATTCTGTTTTCGGAAACAAAACTTGAAATGATTTATAGGTGATTTATAGATGATTTATTATATGATTTATAAACGCGCGTCACAGCAGGCACAAGTTCGAACGATTGTTCGAGCATGCGTTTCCGCAAACGTTCACTTCCGATCTTGGTTCATTAGTCGAGAGATTATTCGGACTTTTAAGCATTATTTCGGCAAGTAAGTTGTTAAAAGCAGGTAAAGCAAATAAAAGTAACTGTATTTGTCTCGAACACCGATCGAACAATTATCTATAATGTCTATAAAATGTAGTTTTTTTTTCTTTTAATTTCTTCCCGAGGAAAGCAACGATTTAAAACCTATCTAAGCGAAGAGAAGGGAAATTGAATCGATTCCGATCATGAGATCCGTCTCCGCTTCCTTATCACACGATCAAAATCTCTCTCGATCGAGAAAAATTTGATCGAAAATCAAGCAAGATCGAAACATCTTTTTCCAATCCTTTTAAAATCCTTTCATTTATTAATAGCAAAAGGACAAAAGAGATCCGTTAAGTAGTCAACGGACTCTGGGATCATTAATTTCCTTCATTTGTGATAATCCTTGTGAAATAAGCCATCTATATATATATCTAGTCATCCGCAATAATTTATTGTTTCTAACACTTTCTAATAACACTTTCCACTTCACCGACGAAAACATCATACACGATACTCTCAGATTGCCTCTCCCTTCCATCCTATTTTTTTTTACTCATTTAATCGAGTTTAATCTCATCTCGAAATCACGCGAGAAAAATATCCGCGGATGTCGGAGAAAATTGGCGGTTGAAACGAAGAAATTCGTTGGCAATGAAATATCGAGCTGCTTTAATCCTCGGCAAGCGAGCGCGCACGCGAGCTTCCGCGTCGGATATCGCGGGTCACCCGGAAGCGAGAAGAAAACACCGGTCCGGTCGGTAATTAATCGACGCTCGCGACGCGGTTAAGTAAACTCGGTTAATTGGATAAGCAAAGCGAGGAAGGAGCGGTTAACCGGTCGGCCCGCGTGATTACACGCGTGCATGCAAATTTTATTAAAGCCGGGGGGGGGGGTTTAAACGATCGGGAGAGAGAGAGGTTCCTCCACCTTGATAATTTATAAACGAGGGTCTCGCGTGACTCGTCGCGACTTTCCTGACCGGGATATTACAATATTTTCCAGCTGTAATCCCGCGTTGAATGCGAAAGCACTCGAGGCGCGCGGATCTTGCTCCCCACCCCTGTTCCCGCAGGGGAATGAAAAACAGTGGAAGAAGAATTAGAGGCAGAAGGAGGGGGTAGAGATGCATACGCGCGGTTGGAAAATATTGTGAAAGGTGTTGAGACGGACGATAGAAGAGTTAATCCTCGAGAAGTTAATCCTCGTTAACCGGTCGTTTAGGTAGGTATGGCTGCGTTGTGTTTCTGGATCGCGAAGGATCTCTCACAGAAAAGATCTGCTATAACCTATTATCTTCCAAACTCGTAATTAGATTCGTATCGCTGATCCTCTTCTCCTCTCCTCTCTCTCTCTCTCTCTCTCTACCTCTTGAATTAAATCCCCGGTGAAAATTTAAAAGACACTAGAGAGTTTAGAGTAACGGAACTGCCACGACACCTTTGTCGTGTCCGGTCGAGGGATACGGAGGAAGCAGGATTCGGAGATCCTGTTTCGAAAAACTTGGGAAACTCGGACGGGAGAAAAAAAGGATATACGCGCGGAGGATGAACGGGCGGCGGGATCGGGATGGCCCCTTGGACGGGGCCATCCTCCCGCGATAGGCGTGCGTGAAAAGGCGGAGTTCCGACATGCGCCTTGCCGCGTTTCCCGCCCATGGAAACCGGTTAGATTGGCGAGAGGCTCGGCCAGGAAACGGGTCTCCAATTGGCAGTGGTGCCATAGTCGCCAATGGAAC